TACAAGAGTTCAACCATTTCTCCTTTGCAGTGAAGAGTGCTCCTATACACAGCTACGTTTCCACACTGAACTAATAATACTGGCTATATTACTTGCTCTCCCCATCCCTATATTACTTGCTCTCTCCATCCCTTTTTTTCCCACCTGAATGCAAAGGGATGAGAGAGGCACTGAAGATAGGAAGTAGAAGGTGAGGACTAAGTAGGATTTTCTGAATTCAGGGAAGGGTTGTCTTAGGTTTCTCTTCTGCAGGTCCTCCCGTCCCTTGCTGCTCCCGAGGCACTGGGCTGGGTACTGCAGCAAGGTGTAGGCTGGATATGTGAGTCAGCAGCAGGCAGCCAAGAGCAGTGTGTCCCAGAGCACATAAATCCAGAGGAGAAGGAAGGTTGGCACCATGGTTGTCCCTGCAAAAGGACAGGACAAGGTGGTGCTAAGGCTGCACCACCACATCTGTGCTTTACCCGAAAAGCTTCAAGTAATCCCAGCTCCCAGGGAAGGAAAGAAAGGAGAAAGAAGAAATGGGGAGAACATTTCTTGCTGTTTCTCCCTACTTCAAGGAGAGCCATGGTGAACAGGCAATCTCCTGGCTTACCAAACCTCTGGCCTTCACAGAGGATGATGCTCTGTTAATTCCTTCAAATGATTAAAGGTGTTCAATAAATCAATATTTAAGCATGGCAAGGGTCTGTCAGGACACTACAGCTCAAGGAGCATTTGATTCTTGCACCCAGCCCTGCTGCCTGCAGAATCACTTACAAGGAATGCTTAGCACACAGCAGACACCATTTTACTTGGAAACCTCTGCTCTGGTAAGGGTCTCACAGGTCTCTTCCACTCACAGACCAGTATCCAAATAGCCCATACAGGAACTTTCCTCCTCACTGCCGGAGTGACTGCATGGAGACCCTTCTGCTCAGTGGGTTTCCTGCTGCAAACTGTCCACTGCTGCAGAACAAAAACAAGCAAACATTGAAGAACCTAATAGGGTACACTCATTAATAAATGATGGTTTACCTATTCATACGCCTCATGTCTTGGGAAAGTTTAAAACAAAGCCTTGTGCTCTACCTTTTTATTTTTCAAACAATGTCATCTCCTGCTGTGTACACTGCAGTTCCACTTCTTGAGAGCAAGTGGCAAAACTGAGAGGAAGAAAAAAGTTGAATCTTCCATTGTCTTCATTTCAAATAAAAATAAAATAAAAATGGGTGAGCTTTTGCAGTTATAGGACAGAGACTGAAAGGTGTAGGTTTTGCCCTCATGTTCAATTTCAGGCATGTCACCTCTTGTTTTTGTGATATGAAATGCAGCAGTGAAATGTGTGTGCATGAATGTTGTCCCTAGGCCCCTTCTGGGTGCACTGGGGTGTGGGTCCCTTCACAGCAGTGAATTTTACCACGATTCAAGGTGCCCAAGTAACTACGCCTGGTGCTGCAGCTTCTTGTTCCCCTTGGTGAGCAGCCTGAAAAGAGAGAAACAGCAACTGCATGAAGCTGTTTCTTGAAGAGGCTGAGAGCCCATATCAAAACTGCAGATGAAGTGGCTTCTTCTGGAAATGCCGGATGGTGCCACTGCCAAGAATTTTGAAGGCTTTGTTGTGCGAGAGTCTGGGTTTGTGCAGGGTCAAAAAGTGTGTGTGGATGATGGGCTCGGGAATCTAAAGGTTTAGATGAATTTTTCATTCATAACCTACTTTAATGCAACAACTGAGTCCAAAGTCTCATAAGAAAGATAAATAACAGATTAGTCAAACCTCAGATTTTTAACTTAGATGAAAATAATATGGTCCAAATACACCCCAGGGAGGAATTCTTGACAATAAAAAGGATGCCAGAGCAGTATTAGTATAGCACAAAGCAACATGCTGGCATGTGGTAATTGCAAGAGCCAGAACTATCTCCTTTTAAACAAGCTGAAATACAAATGTGAAGCCTGTTTTTCCTCCTTGCTCTGTTCTCTTGACAACAACTGCCATAACCCAACCGCTAAATTGTCACCACAAAAATACGTCAATACATTTGCAGTGGTTGAGGTGATCCTCTTGACCATCATGGGTATGTGAGTGCCTTCTTTAAGCAGTCTTCAGGCCAAAGAGTGTTTCAGTAGACTCATGCGATCCTACTGACTACCCAGAGCCAAAGGTTTTATCCAGAGAATCTGCCTGACATCACGCAGAAGAGTTCTAGTCATAGGCAGGCAATGATGGGCCTGACCTTAGCTTGTCAAGAAACAAAGTAAGTTCGGAAAAGTAGAACGTTTCCTAATCTAGTACATCTCCATGGAAAGAACAGCAACCTCATTTCTATAATTTGCTCGACCTGTCTGATTAAAAGTTCAACCTGAACATAGCTCAGAGTGCTTTCAGGACCTTCTCTAGCAATAAAGAGTGATTACAGATTGTTTCCTTCATTCTTCTCCAAAAAAATGAAAATAAAAATCTGTTTTGCATAGAAATGGGATGCAATTCTCACTCTTTAGCAGTTTTGCTCATTTAAATATTGCAGTGAAAAGAACAGCATTTATACTGACATTAGAATAAAATGGATTATTTTTATTTCTTCTTCATTTTTACCTACTTAACAAATTATATTATAATCCTTTTCCCTGTTTGCTCCACTGTTCTCCACTACCCATCATCTCTAATTTTCTTAATATCTTAAAAATTTGGAAATATCACACTGCCCTGCTTCCCTAAAAGAAAGAAAATAGCACACGTTTTTACTTTTTTTTTCTCTAAACTTCCCCCCCCCAAAGAAAATAGTGTTCAAAAACTTTAAAAAAATCATTTGTTTTGTTTTATTCTGATCAGTTTTCTTCAACCAAAAGGCCATTGGGCATACCCCTTTCAGACTTACCATGATCTATTGAAACATGTCCTATATGTCCTTTCGCCCTTGCGAGTTCTGAGAGAGGGACTGAAGGGTTCACACTTCCCTGCGCAACGTGCCTTAATGAACACAAAAGAAGGATGGTGTATGAAAACCAGTGATTGTTTTGCTGTGTTACTTTCAACTTTTCCTCTGTATTTCAAATTCACCAACAAGAAAAGGCTGCATCCTTAATGTATCCTCTGTCACTGTGGTCCAATTTATAAAGTGTGGGCTGTATGGGCTACTACAGGGTGTTGAAGAGATGAATTCAGTGCTGTGTTTGGGTTGCCCATGTGTTATTAGTGTTAGCCCCCCTCAGAGCCCTTTCTCCTGAGGAACAAGTGTCCCCTTCCCGCAACACGCATTTCAGTGAAATAGAGGAGCAGAAAAACACAGTATTTAGCGAAGCTGAATTTGCTGCCCCAGCCTCAGCTAACATCAATGGCATGCCCTTGAATTTGCTGGATGTAGCTCTTAGCAGAATTCCCTGCAAGGGTAAGCTTACCAGCACAACATGCGAGTGGATTTAACAGCATAACTTGCAAGTGTTCGTAGGAGTGGCTGATGTGTGTTCTCTGTGTGTATGTAGGAGTATAGATGTCTGGATCCTGTGTGACAGGATATTTCAAAACCAGCTGTAGTAACATAAGCAACAATATGAGGTCACTGAAAAGAGCAAAAAGAAAGAGAGGCTGAAAGTGAGTGAATAAACTATAGGACAGATGCCATCCAACACATTATTTAAACTAAGCTGGAAGATTGACAGATGGATGATTTAAGATGGAATCATTGCATTTCCCATCACTGTGAGCCCACCCTGGGCTCCAACAACTGCTTCACTTGGGATAATGCAAGAAAAATGTACCTTCCGACAACAGTGATTTTCTGTGATTTTTCTGCCCAAGAAAAGACTTCTCTCCTGGAGGAGGCAGAGCAGAGCAAGAAATCACTCTTACACACTTGCATGAGGCAAGGACACTGGCATCTGTAAGGAAAAGGGATCAGGAGGTGGAAGGGCTTGAGAGAGCAGAGAGTTTGGGGTTAGCACATTGGGACTTGCCACTGCCTTTAGAAGGAATCTGCAATAGGAGACATATACTAGAGGTGGAAACAGTATGGAAGAGGAGGTTGAATAGAGAGAGAGAGCAAGCAGAGAGGTAAAAAAATGCCAGGCCAGATGGTACAAAAAGGGGCAGGCACATGGGAGCCAGCTGGGCAGAAGGGTGACCTCCAGAGCACCCTCCTCCAAAACGATGGAATTTCCCAATTCTTCTATTGTCAGCATGTGGTTACAAAACCAAAATTACAGCCTGCAAAATGCACTTCTGCTCCTCACAGAGGGACAGCAGCAGGATACTGATGCTGCTGTCAGCCCTCCAGTGCTCAGTGGCTCCAAGATGATACAAAAAGATATATGTGGAGGTTACTAGCGAAGCATGCAAAAACCAAAGACAATGCATGAAGTAATGGGTGCTTTCATGATAATAGGTCAGGCTTCCCTTCCATTCCCCACCTGCTTCTTTCCCTGCCTGCAAGACACCGAAGGTCATCACTCAGACGTTTCACATGTTGTTTTGTCACTTTGGGGTATCCGGTGATGCTGTTCCAGTGTTTTCATGTGCAATGCATGCAGGAAGCGCACATATACCTTTCTCCTTCCACGCACGCTTGCTCTTGAAGACCCACCTCTGCAGCAGGCTCTTGGAGCAGCCACAAACTGCTGCGCTTTCACTCCGCAAAGCTCCCCATCTCCCCATGCCGAGCTCCTGTCGCGACCCAGCGCTCCATAGGAGGAGCAAAAGAGCTGAGACGTCAATGCAAAAAAAAAAAAAAAAATCATAGCCATGCGAGCTCTCCCTGCGCTCCGCCGCCCGGAGAGCGCACACATGGCTTGTGTGACAGCAGCGGCGCACAGAAGCTGCAGTGAAATGCAGCGAGCAATACAGCTGGGAGACAGGCAGCGAGGCAGGCACCGGTCCAGGGACTAAAATGATCCTCCCGCGAGCTGGTCTGCAGTGCCTCTAAAAGTGGCCGGCTACTGCGCAGGAGCTCGGCTTCCTCTGCAATTACTCTGTGGTGTAACCGAGTTCCCCTCGGTGACCGCAGCCTGTGTGCTGCTTTCCTTCTTTTTTTTATTATTATATTTTTTTCCTGCTGTCTCCCTCTCTCTCCTTCTCGTGTCCTTCTCTCCAGGATGGCGGAGGCAGAATTGCACAAGGAAAGGCTCCAAGCCATAGCAGTAAGTCAGTTTCATTTTATTTTTTGTCTCTTTTGTCTGTGTAGCTGGGGGAGCTGTGAGTTACTGAAGCAAGGGGAGATTCCAGCACAGTGGCTGGAAAGCGTTTGGGAAGCATGGCTTTTGAGAAGTTCTGCATGGAGTTTTCCTTTGGGGAATGACTGGTTAAAGTCTGTTTTGAAGGATTTGGCTGAGAATGAGGGTTCTGATGAAGTCAGCATTGAGCTGACACGTGCAGAAAAAAAAAAAAAAAGATGTGAATGCATACTGGTATGCTTAAAAGACAGATGATGTGGAAGAAAAAGAGAAATAAATAGCGGGGAGGGGAGATTGCAGAAGAAAATCAGTACTCTGCTAAAAAAGATGTGTTCACGCTGTGGGAGTTTTAGCTAAGCCGATTAAGAAGTTAAACCAAAATGATCTGCTGCAGGGTGGCTTTTACTGCAGAAAATAATTCCAATATTATTAGTTGCTAACACAATCAAATAAAAAACATCCATTATTGGAACTGCCTGATTATTTGATCTACTAGTATTAAACTGTCACCTGAGCTCCATGGATGAGCAAATGCTCTGAGACAAATCCCTTGCTCAATTGCAGCTTGCCAAGGGCTAAAGCTTAGGCAGAATTTTGCCCCCTTTTAGCTAAAACACTGATTTTCACATTTACTGCTAAAATCCAACCTGGGGTGAGCGACAGGCTCAGCTGGTGCAGACCTCATTGGAGGGCAATGATTCCGAGTGAGGACGGGGCCTTGGCATTTAAAACCCACGCTTATCGTGACATACAGAAAATGCCAGCTCATCTGGTACGGCAAACACACCCCGTGAAAAGCGCAGTGTTTCTGCGAGCGCTGCTCATCTGCTAACCCCACATAGCCGGCCCTTGTTCCGAGCGGCATCAGCTCTTTTCCGCGGCAGGGATGCCCGTGCAGCTGTGTCGAGGCGGATGGTACAGTACGTGCCCATGACCAGCCTGCTCAGACCCCACGTGGAAAGGCAGAAAACGGCAGAACGCGCCAGGGTTTTCAGATCCTCCTCCCCAGGATCACCAGTGATCAACAGATGTTGCGTTTTACTATGGCTGACACAGGCTATAGATTTTCTTTGTACTTAGAGGAATGGCTGCTGCTGTACCAAGTCGTTTTGCTACAGTCTGTCATTCTGCTAACAGACCCATGGAGATTTAAAATAACCAACGTTACACTAAACACATTTTTTTTCTCCCTAAAATATTTCCTGTGTAAGATCAAATGATATCATTGGTTATGGAAGGAAAATATTATGGCTAATATTCAAGCAGTGGAAAATTGCTGCTTTTTTTTAGAAAGCTCTCTGGAAGTTTTCTACCAGCCTATGCATTACTAATTCTCTGCATTAAAGCATTAGTAACGTTCCTCTAGAGCTAATTCTCACAACTGTCTCTGACTTGGGAGTTCTGTGCCAACAAACATGGAAGAATTACACTGCAGTGTACTCTGGAAGTGATAAATGTATTACCACTATGAATGAGTCTGAAAAAAAAAAGTCTTCAGATCAAAATATATATGTGTATATGTATATGATTTTCTGCCTTTGTCTCCTATATAACTAACAGAAAACCAACTGGCATCCATTTCCACTGCATGTGAGGTACTTCAACTGTGTACCCAAGGGACTCAGGTTCTGTGTTTCTTGGTGCTTTGCATTTCACATCAATGAAGCCATAACAGATATGAGATTGCTATGTGCTATGTCATAGCCTTTTGCATTAAATTTATGCTTTTTCTTTTGAGGACTCTAGATCTTCTATATACTCCTCTACGGGTTCTACTTCTATGGAGTCTACTAGACTGACTATAAATATAGTGTAGTAATACATACAGTGAATTTGATTTCAGGACTGAACTGTGTCTGACTCTGAGTGTCAGAAATAGCCTTGTTTTAAGATCGAATCTGGGTGCAAAAACTGATTTGTTTACTTATATGTTCTGCAGACCAACAAGTTGTCCATACAAGTTTCAGAGGTTACTTTTCTCACTTGGATTGCTGCAAAAGTTTATCAGGTGCTGAAAAGTGTATTTTTAATGTAAGTTTTGCTCCATCAGGATGACTTATATGGCATGAGTTAGATGGTGTTCCTCAGTTACTTAATATAAGGTCAATCCTCACCTTCTCAGGCATGGAAAAGGTGGTATTTCAGTTCAGCTTGGTGCTCCCTGTAGAAAACGGGTGGGAAAAAAGCTTTAACCAGGCTGTAGCATCTTAGTAAGCGAAGGAGAAGATTGCTGCAGCACTCTGTGATCAAGCTCACTGAATGCTAAGCGAGTAGGAATAAGCTTCTATTCATGGTCATGGATGCTTCTCCGTACAGTTGCTTGTACTGATGCTTGTAATTACCACGGCAAATGATCTAGTCAGGAAGAAAAGCAGGGTAGATTTTAAGTGTGTACCACCAAATACTTAAGGAAAATAAAATCCAAACATGGAAATATGAATATTTGCTCCAGAAGACCAACACCTTTCTGAGAGCTCTGTAGTTTCTTATTCTGGCTAACCACAATTTTAAATGCATGCCTGTCTGGAACAGAGAGAATGTAATGAGAAGAGGAAAAAAAAAAAGATCTAACATTAGTCAAAAACGTGGTGAACATGAGTTAGTCACTTGTTTTGCCAGTAGCAAGTACTCAGCCTCTCTATGCATTCATCTTCTATCTGTAAACTGAGTAACGGACTTTGCCCTTTCTTAGAGAGCTGCTAGTGGTTCATGAAAGACGGTGGAGCACTTGAATTCTATTTTTTTCCAGTGTTTACACAGCTAAATAAACCATTAAAAATAGAGTGTACAATTCTGATAAAATACAGATTTTAAATGTATGTTTTTAATACCATGGTAAGTGCTTAGTCAGTGATTTTTAGATCTTTCTGTTTCAGAAGCTCCTAAAATTCCCTATGGCAAGTTGAGGATGCTACAGCATCCAGAAACAGATGTGAGGATATGACTAGTGAAGTAATTTCTCTTTTCTCTCCATTTAGGATGAGAAATGCAAAGTGGGACATGGGGAACTCTATGGCTGCCTGCAGTTGCTGGTTGTTTTTTTTTTTAAAGCTTTACTTTAGTAGAGGTCACATCAGATCTCCCGACTTGAAGTATTGTGTATGCCACAGGCAGATACTGATAAATCCTTCCATCATCCCACGCTGTTCCTAAGACCTGTGTCTGAGCCTTACCTTAAATAACCACGGTGCCCATCTGCTCTTCCCCATGGATGGGAGCGGAGCGGTGCCCATCAGGGTGCAAGAGGCCGCAGGATGTGAAAGCAAGAGGTCAGAAGGGTGGGCTCCAGCTTGGAGCAGCCTTCTCTTCCCAACCCCTTGCTAGAGCAGAGTGTGCGCTGGCCCTCTCCTTAGAGGGGGCAATGGGTAAAATGGTGTGAGGAAAAGAAAAAAAAAAGGACACATTTCTGCATTTCTGTGGTTTTAAAAAATATGCCTGCCCTAAGTCTCTCGGAAGTCTGGAATGCTAATAGTCCCCGAGGAAGCAGAGTTAGTGGCTAGAGAACAGGTGAGCTGAGCAATTTTTCACACTTTGGGTAAACAAACTGCATGGCTCTGCAGTTTATTAAATGGCTCCATTCTCTTTGACTCCAGATATCACCGTTAGACAGCAGTATAAATACAGGCAAGCATTTATGAAATGTAATTTTTTTTCTGGAGCCTGACTAGCAAGCAGCTATAAATCTGGGAAGTGGGGAGGCTGAATATGCATCAGTGTATCTGAGGTACAAATATGCATACAATACAGTGAATATGTATCGTATGGATATAGAGTGAATTAAATGCGATCACTGACACACTTCAATTAGAAGGAATCTTTCAGTAAGACAACAACTAAGGAACAGAAAAGATGTTTTAAGCTAAGGAGAGAGATGCTAACCTTTAGATGGAAATGGGAAGCTGCTGAAATGTAACATGTTCTTTACAACTAAAAACAACAACATTGTTGGTTAGCATATATTCATGCCCAGGTCAGGAATCCGTTAGTGCATTAAAGTTTTGGAGAAAAGTAATTATTGACATTCAAGCAGCCATGTGGAAGAAAGCTTTCATCAAACAAGAACATTCTTGCTTTTTCTATGGTATTGCAAGTTTATTTGTTAAGCTCCGCCATGTGGATCTAACATTACTTAAAAGTGATCAGGTGCTTGACTGAGTATTCCAGAATGTTCTGGTTTAAAAATAGTGCTCTCCACTTCCAGTGGTGTATACCTTAGATGGATGAAGGACTGGCTGAATGACAGATCTCAAAAAGTTGTTGATAGTAAGGAACAGTGCTAAACAGAGCCTGCTCCTCAGGAGCAAAGGCAGTGAAGCACTCACAAGAACCAGCAAGGCTTGATCATGTCCAATGTTTTTATTCATGCTCTGATATAAATGCAAAGTGAAATAGATAAAGACTAATGGAACTGTAAACAGTAAGGACAAAAAGTCATATACAACATATTGTATTATTTGGTAAATGCAATCAACTAAAATACAGCAAGAGTTAAAATAAGGTGAATGCAGAATTGTGCATCCAAATAGTATAGCCAATATCTCAGAACAGGGAACTGTGTTTTGGGGAGTACTGTCCTTAATCAGGAACTAGAGGTCACTCTAGTGAAGATCTTTGTTCTGCAAAGGAGATAAATATCACACTAACTAAACTAGGAAATGGTTTGAAGTTTTCCCAGGTAGATAAATATAAATGCATATACACATAAAAATGTACCTATATTATCAATATAGTTTCATTGTTATCATAGGCAAAGTGAACATTTTCTCCTTGTTCTCTGTGCTGCATTTCTGAGCTGCAACCAGCAGAAATTGAAAATGAGAAATCAGAAATTGTGAGTTTCATATGGTCTCTGTACATTTCTGTTCACCTCTTAACAAAAGCATGAATGTTTCTGTTTCTCCCAATTCACTTATTTTCTTTCATTCTGTAAAGTCATAACTTGCAGCTAATAGATCTTGTGCCTGAAA